GGCAGTGTTCACTGCCGTCCATTAGAGGTACGTGGTGGACAACTTCAGCCACCATTTATGATTTCCTCGGACTTTTGAGGAAATAAGCATTCTGTTCACAAGGACTCTGCTAGCTGCGGGTGGAGCAAAACGGGAAAGGTGGGAGGGATCCGCAGAATTGTTCGCGGATGCGTCTTTATGAGGCACATTTCACTGCCGCGTAGATCCTCCTGGGTGGCCTGGGCTTACACGACACTGCACAAGGTATCTACAATGGGTCTAGCTAAAATAATGGGAAAAAAAAAAGAATATACTACGGCGCTCAACTGGCCTCAAAAGAACACACCGAAGCCGGGGTCTTTTTTTTACGAAAGTGCTTCCGGTTGGAGATTAAGTCAGTCCTCGCACCGGTATGTTTTCCCCGGTGGCCAATGTGAGGTCGGATGTGTAAGATGCGGTGAAAAACGCGCGACTCAACTCCGGCGAACCCGGCTACCCTCCCACTTTCCACACTTTCGTCTGAACTCTTGATGCGCGTAACCTGGCGGGCCTGGGCTGGCGTTATCGCTGTAAGGAAGTATGCTGTTATTTTTTCTATACGCACCCTCATCCATTCGAAGGGAAGTTTCTCTTTCGTTGGCTGTCCGTGTTTTTCTCTTCCTTCCGCAAGTGGCCACGAAAGATTAATCATTAAGAGAATTTCTTTCTGAGATCTCCAAGATTTCGGACGTAAGTACCGACTGAGAGAGTGGAATCTTGGAGATACTCCTACTCCATCCAGATTATAATAATCGACATTGACGATAAGAAGGGGACTGATCCTAGTGTACTAATGTCCATAAGGCGTGTAAGGTACTAGAACCACTCGCTTTCCGACCCCACGCCCCCCTCCGGCTCCGGGCACGAGCACGGGTGAAAACTTAAAGAACTTTCGCCTCACTTGGTTCTAGAACGGGACGGCATTGGGTGAGGGGGTGTGAAGTTCAAGGCAGAAGGGTTTTGTGTCTTCCGATGAGGTGTGGTGTTCGTCAGCGGGAATGCCGGGCATAGCGGAAGCGGCGGCCACCTTTTTCTTTCTAGGTATTTGGTTTCTTGCTGAATGCCGCGCGGGAGTTGGGGTGACGTGTGTCCCATTCCTCTGTGTGTGTGTGTGTGTGTGTAGATGAAAGTTTCCGAAATCCAGAGTGATCCAGAATTGTGGTAGTTACCTCGGAGTTCCGAGGTTGGTTCCATTCCCTTGGGTCCCTTTCCTCCATCCCGTTCATCTGCGCGGGTTTGAAAAACCTGGCGAAAGTGCAAATGGCGTACGATGTTTCATGGTAGTTTGAGAGGGACTCGAGATGGAATTTCCGCCGCCGCCCCATTCTCTTTATTTTCCGAATTCGGAAATACGGGTCCGCCGTTGGGACCCCCCACCCGGCATCCGCAGATTGATTCCGGCCCGGGGTCCCGGGCCCGGTGGGTGGAATAAGAAGATGGGGAGCAAAGATCAAGCTTTGATGATTTGGGATGTTTCTATGGAGAAGAAGACTAGGTCCGTCGGGTTGAATCTGTATCCCGGTGGAGATCTCGGAGAAATTTGGGTTCTTTCTTGCCTTTGTGACGAACCCAGTCCGAGGATTCATCCAAGCTGTATGGGATCTAAGTACCCCAGGTAGGACAGGAGCCGCAGAGGTTGGATAACGTATTCCATTGGAGACAGAATTGTGTGGAATCTCCGTGATTTTCTGCCCTTCCCCACGTGATCGGTTCCGGATATCCCTAACTTCTTGGCTAACCACGTTGGAAGAATCGTGGTAGTAGTGCGCTGCGCTGTGTTATCTTTGTTATGCGCTGCTTGCGAACTATGGTAGTCTTGTTCCCCGATACTTTCTAGTAGTCATAACCTCTCTTAGTTTTGGAGAGCCACCTCTCAATACCTACTCGTCTTCCTCCTTGACCGGAAACGGCCTCAACGGGCTGGATCGTTTCCAATCAAGAGCAAGATGCAGGGCCCTGGTGACAAAGGACTCAGAGCACGTAAACGAGGGCAGTCTTAACACTTTCAATACATCCAAGGTTTTCAATAGGTGTTGCTGAATCATCTATCCTTCTGGGTCAATACCTCACTCTTCACTCATCATAAGCAAGGTGAACAAAAGCCCCATTGCAGGCATCCAAGAGCTGGGACCGCACATATAGGTCTTCCACCGGGCTCGTGCCAAGTTCGTGGACTCGGCGGATCGCACTCTACTGCAAGGCTTTTATCGATTGGGAGTGACGGTCGCTTACCCAAAGCCATGGTTACCAGGTTTCCCTCACCCGAGGGCGGTACTCTGAATATATTCGCCTCTGTACCCTTAGGCTGCGGAGCCAAGCAGAATATCAAGCAAGAGTCGAAGGCTTACGACGCTTTGAACTCAATCTGGGCGAAGCAAATTGGCAGTGGACTGCATAGACTCAACCATATCCATTCGCGGCTGATGCAGAGACCAAAAGGTATGGCTTGCTTGTCTACCTTGGAGATACCTACCTAAGCAAGCCAATAAGTACCTGGCACTGGAGAGGAGCCCGTTCGGGCCGAGGTCCCTCAAGCCGAAAAGTCGCGGTCTCGGCGGGTCCCGTTTGACGTTCCATCCCGTTTAATGGCATCCCGGCATGGGACGGAGCGGTAAGATGACCTACTCCGACACTCCGTGCCAGCTCGCCAAGAAGGGTAATCCAACGACAATTTTGCCAGCCCAGCTCAGCGTTAGGACGTTAGAGTCATTTGCTCGGAAGACACGGAGATTCTCAGCTGCTTGTCGTCCCTTGCTGTGCCGACCTGATTGCGTGCCTAAAACTAAAGACACCTACAACGCAAAACCCTGAGAGGAACGCATGGAATAGTGTAATCTCCCCAACAAACCCAATCGGGAATCATCACATTGGCAAGGATAAACTTACAACAGTAGTGGTCAAGAAACTCCTGCCCGCCTCGAAGTCCCTCGGCCGAGGGTGAAGTGCTTTCGTTATTCGGGAGGATGATGTGCGAGGGAATGAAAGTATTTGCTGTACATTCTTACATGGAAAAAGAACGCTATACGCGCAAGTGAAACCCGTTAGCGTTATGTGCATAGTGCCGTTGTGGTAAGGTAGGTAGCTGGCGTGTAGTATACGCTGTCCTCGAATACCCTGGCGCGTCCTGCAGGCACGCTCATGCGGGATTCATGCGGTTGAAGAGAATAGTGGACACCGAACAGCAGCAATCAGCCCAGCGGAAGACTAGCCGAGATGGAGTGTGGTAGCGAAGGGGGCCATCGGCGGGAGGTTTGGCACGGATGGGAAGGTTGAAGGTAGGGGAGAAGCGGATATACAGGTGGATTCATCGATACGCGGTTGGAGTACGCCCCATTGCTGTGACTATCGGATATTGAACAAGTAATGAGGGACTGATGAACCCAGAGCATTGTGAGCTTTCAGAACAATAATCAGCTTAAGAGTAACTAGTGCTCCAGAGTCCTCCAACGGTCCAACCTCCCACAACGGAGCCCCGTATTCAGCCGAAGAATCCGCTCCGAGGTCGCCGGGGGAAAGAAGGCTTGTGGCACAGACTCGGGGCCAATTAGAAGGTCGATGCCCGTCCATCCCTCCTTCGGTAGCCGGTTCAGGCCCCCCTCGCTTGCTCGTGTCCACTGTCCACATCAGAACAAATTGGGGGCGGTGGAGGGGGGAGGGGCAGCTGGAGACAACTGAAATGCCCCGCCATCCCACTGGGTCGGGTTCCTGGTGACGACGCAGCTTTTGGACACCTTTACGGTCACCCTTTGCGCGGAATAATACCGTTGAAGTTAAGCGTGGGAATGAGGGCGATATGAGTCTATATCTCTAGGAGAGAGGGGACGATAGACGGATGTGAGCCTTTTTGTCATAGTACAACTTGAGGAGAACATTACCTCGCAATAAGGTTGTTTCTCCGTGTGTACGTGTGTACCAAGGCGGCATGTGAAAACCTACCACAAAAAAAGAGACCACGCGCCATGCGGTTCGTCGGATGTGTACACAGGAACACAGAGCACACAAGCAATGACAAGAGGACAGATAGAGAAAGAGAGAAAAGATAAGCCTAATGCATAAACCTCTGCAGAGCTAATCTGCATCACGACACTTGGCCTCGTACAGCCTTCTCACGAACATCACACCAGTGATCAGTCTGTTTACTTATCCCGCGCCAGGCGAGCGTTTATCTTACCACATACTACGTTTTATCCCGCATCCAAGACGCTTCATCCATGCAGACGTACCCAAAGTAATCAAAACTAGACCCAACAAACGTGCCGTTACCGTAACCGTTTAACATCTGTCTGCGTGTTCCTATCGCATACCTACAGATAGCTCCACAAGAGCTGTGCTTCCTCCCCTGGTAACCTGTCACCCCGTCCGTCCGCCTGTCTCACCGCCCCTCCCAACAACGGACGACGTAGCGCCAGGCCCTTCCTCATCCTTCCGCCGGCGTCCCGGATAGCTCCTTGGCTCTAATCTACCTGAGCATTGAGACGAACCATCCGTATCCCGCACTCTACCGAGCTATATACCTACCTTATCCACGTCTCCCGATGCCACTTCCTCTCTCCTTCTCTTTCTCTCTTCATCCCATAACCAAAGACCAAAGAGAATAGTCTCACCAGAATCCCCCAAAAGCTTTCACCAAAAACCACCACCTAACCAACAACCTCACCAATCGTCTGATCGCGCTTACGAGTCGCGGTCACCCCCGTCGTCAAGACGTTTTCCAACCTCCTCAACTCGTAAGTATAGTCTCACTCTCAACTCATTCATATCGCACCGTTCACGAAAGCATCTCAAAACCCATGACACATTTGCTAACTTCAATGTCTAGGGTCCATCACCCGTACGCAGGAGCCCGCTGCTCAGCCGCCCCTGGGGCTTCAGCGGACTCGGCCTTTGATCTCTAAAGGCCCTTCTCATCAACGAGAAACAAACAAACTCACCGCCTGAACACTGAAAACTCCAAATCCACCTCACCCTCTCTCTATCAAATCATGGCTCCCCATGCAGAGGCAGACTCGGGCTCCGCGCACGGAGATGGACCAACCAACGGCAACGGCAACGGCAACGGCGCCGTGACAACTAACCTAGCCCACCACCCCCAGCAGCACGACCGCGAGCTCTTCACCGTCGACTCCCCCAACGTCGTCTACAATGACAACGAGATCCTCTCCAAGTACACCTACCGCACCACAAAGGTCACAAAGGACGCCGCTACCGGCAAGTACATCGCCAAGCCCACCACCACCCTCTACGAGTTCAAGACGGACCGCAAGGTCCCCAAGGTCGGCATGATGCTCGTCGGCTGGGGCGGCAATAACGGCACCACCGTCACCGCAGGCATCCTCGCCAACCGCCGCGGTCTCGAGTGGGATACCCGCGAAGGCCCCCGCGCCGCAAACTACTACGGCTCCGTCATCATGGGGTCCACCGTCAAGCTGGGCACCGACGCCGAGACGGCAAAGGACGTCAATATCCCCTTCCACGACCTGCTTCCTATGGTCCACCCCAACGACCTGGCTATTGGCGGTTGGGATATCAGCAAGCTGAGCTTGGCCGACGCCATGGACCGCGCGCAGGTGCTGGAGCCGACGCTCAAGATGCAGGTCAAGAAGGAGATGGCTGAGATGGTCCCGCTTCCTAGCATCTACTACCCTGACTTCATCGCCGCCAACCAGGAGGACAGGGCCGACAATTTGATTCCCGGAAGCAAGGCCTCCATGGCTCACGTTGAGCAGATCCGCAAGGATATTCGGTAGGCATTCTCCCAGCGGGCTATAAATGGCATTGTTGGGTGCTGGTGCTGTCGTTGGTGCTAAATGTGAAAATAGCGACTTCAAGGAGGCCAACGGTCTCGACAAGGTCATTGTGCAGTGGACCGCCAACACGGAGCGATACGCCGACATCATCCCGGGCGTCAATGACACCGCCGATAACCTGCTCAAGTCCATCGAGGAGGGCCACGAGGAGGTCTCGCCCTCGACCGTCTTCTCCGTTGCCTGCACGCTTGAGGGCGTCCCCTTCATCAACGGCTCCCCGCAGAACACCTTCGTCCCCGGCGCCATCGAGCTGGCCGAGAAGCACGGGTCCTTCATCGGCGGCGACGACTTCAAGTCGGGCCAGACCAAGATGAAGTCGGCACTCGTCGACTTCCTCATCAACGCGGGTATCAAGCTGACCTCCATTGCGAGCTACAACCATCTGGGCAACAACGACGGGAAGAACCTCAGCTCGCACAAGCAGTTCCGTTCCAAGGAGATTAGCAAGTCCAACGTGGTGGACGACATGGTTGAGGCCAACACGGTGTTGTACAAGGAGGGCGAACACCCTGACCACACCGTCGTCATCAAGTACATGCCAGCCGTGGGTGACAACAAGCGCGCGCTCGACGAGTACTACGCCGAGATCTTCATGGGCGGTCACCAGACCATCTCGCTCTTCAACGTATGCGAGGACTCGCTGCTGGCATCGCCGCTCATCATCGACCTCGTGCTCGTGGCCGAGATGATGACGCGCATCCAGTGGAAGGCTTCCTCGTCGGACGGTGTCGCGACCAAGGACTTTAAGGGATTCCACAGCGTGCTGAGCATCTTGAGCTACATGCTCAAGGCGCCCCTGACCCCGCCGGGAACCCCTGTCATCAACGCACTGAGCAAGCAGCGCGCCGCGCTGACCAACATCTTCCGCGCCTGCGTTGGTCTGGAGCCGGAGTCTGAGATGACGCTCGAACACAAGCTGTTCTGATGCGTCGTCAGATTGTGAATGAATGTTCCATTCTTTGCCATACCACGTGGCCCTGCTTTGATTCGTTGCCTTGCTTTTTCCAATTCTGGAGGTCGATAACGACACAATCGCCCCGTCCGATCATTGAGAGTTGCGTTAATGATTTGAGATAGTGCCTATGTTTATTCCAAAAAAATACAGTCAGTCATTACCGCATGCCGTAAGCGTCCCACATGTCAGAGTTTTGGCATTTCGTATCGTGAAGCTATTTGGGAAGCAGCCACGCAAGCTCTCACAACTTGAACCTTAGAAGTGCCGTCCTCGAAAGCGAAAGCTTGCTAGAAGCATGGACCTGTGCTGTCGAGGGTCGAGACGAGTTTACGCCTGATGGTGATGTCGAGCAGGTGGTGATTGGTCGTGCACGGAAAAGACGAGGTTATGAGCCGCACAGCATTGAAGCAGATGGGACGATGACCAATCAGTGCGTTGGAAATGCTCTCAATGGCTGTGGCCCAGACATGTCCGCTCACTATCTTGGAAGCGTCGGACGATATCAGTCAACATGTCAACTGCGCGGGCCTTTTCTTTTTAGGGACAGGAAGTGAAGACGGAGACGTGGCGTAGTGTAAAGCTCGGACGCAAGCCTGTCAGGATGTTGTACTCCGTATCGATATATCCGCAGCTGGAGAAGGAAAAGGATCTGGAGATATTGGAGACTCTGGAGAATGTTTCGAGCTGGGGGGGCTGGAATGACATTCCAATATCCGTGTCCAGCTGCCAATCGCCGTGTCTGTTGCTCGTAATTTTCTCCGCAGTCAAGCAAGGGAGGATGACGAAAGTCGATAGACGAGAGAAAAAGGGGGGAAACTTGGTGGGAATTCTGCGAGAGGTTCGGTGTCGGTAAACAGAGGCGCAATTGCAGGCTGTCCAATGGAAAGAGCCTGAGAGGTGAGATGGGCGCGCGCCGCGGGGACGTCTCCAAAGCTAAAATTCTAGCCCGAGTAAGACGTAACGGTGCAGGAGCAGGGGAACAAAGGGGACCCCGTACTTTCTGTAAAAGACATGAGTTCATTGGATCAAGGGCAGGAGGTGGCCTTGTTAGCTGCCCCTGGAGGCCTGGGGAGGGACCATCTGGCGACCACTTGCGACGGCCCATGTTGATACTGGTGCTCCGCTGTGCCTGATCTGCCAAATGGTTGCCGGGGTGTTGCTGGTGATGAAATTGCCCAGCTTTAATCAAGCATAAAGTAGCAATAGAACCGTAAGTAGGCGGGTGAGACGGCTGCTTTGGGTGGGTAGAAACCACGCTGAGAAGGAGAGAGAGACAGAGCGGAAGAAAAAGACGAGGTGGGAAGCCGGCGGGAGGGAAGAAGGAAAGGAACGGGGAACGAGCAACCTTACTCATCCCTCCGGACGGTACCTTCCTCTCTCTCACCACCATCTTCTTTAGACCTTATGGAGGGACAGAGCTGGGCAGGTAATTACCTATAGTACTCCGTCCTGAGTGAAGAAAGAAGATACATTTCTACTTGCCAAGACGGGCCCTTTTGACGCAGGCGTGTGTGTCGTCCGCCAAGTACCTTATTTTGCCTTTCAGACAGCCTGCCTTCGCCCAAACCAGCAGTTAATCTGCGTTTCCTGATTTCTCCCTCTACCCCTTGGGCAACGACGCTGTTACTTCCTGTAGCTTTTCCTCTTCATTTCTCTTTTCCCTTCTTCCAGTTGAACCCTCACGTCGAATCTCGTTTACGACTGTTTTCGAATCACCGACAGGCGCCTCGGCCGCCACTACCACAGACAAGACCTGCGACGATGTTGTTTTCCACACTTGGGCGCGTTGCCCTTGCTGCAGGTTAGTGCCCTGACTGCTTATTTGCGCGTTTCCCCATTGGCGACCCAGCCCAGCGACGAGGGTCGGCGTCATCCTTCAGCTTCAATTCAACAGATTCCTTCTTCCAAAGGCACAGACAAACATCTGGATTAGAGACCCTGGACATTTTATCGCCATCCTCGTCAATCTAGCGGGAACCCCACACTGACATGGACTTTTTCTCGTAGCCGCGTTTGCGACGTGCTCGTTTGCACAAAGCTCCAAAGACGATGATCTCGGCCAATCGACCTTCGTCGCCCCAGAGAACAATGTCGCCTTTGGCTTCACCGTACCCGAAAACAGTGGCGAGGACATCTTCTTCACGATGCGAGCCCCCATCGACCGCACATGGGCTGCCATTGGCATCGGTCAGGATCAAATGGCCGGCAGCTTGATCTTTATGATCTATCGCGACGAGACGGGCAACAACGTCACCTTCTCACCTCGCATAGGCTACGGAAATTACGAGCCGACGTACTACAACAATATGCAGTGGGACGTTCTTGCCGGGACGGGTGTTTTCAACAATTCCATGTACTTCAGCGCGCGATGCACTGCACACTGCAGGAGCTGGGTGGGAGGATGGATCGATGTCTCAAACGAAAACCAAAAGGCCATTTACGCTGTCGGACCAAAGGGAAGCTTCTTCTCGAATAAGCAGGACACGTCTGTCAAGTTCCACGAGGAGTTTGGCCGCTTCACACTCAACATGAAGCGCACAGTTGGCCCCGGCGACGCGCCCGTGCTCAAGGACAGTTCCGTCAACGAGGGTACGACGCAAGTATCTGCCAACGATGGCCGGAGAGACTACAAGTCCATCTTCCATGCGGTCCTGATGGTGGGCTCCTTGGTCTTCCTCATTCCCTTTGGCGCTATCCTTCTTCGCTTTGGAAACATGGTTAGATGGCACGCCCTAAACCAAGGTGTTGCTCTGATTATCGTTCTCATTGGATTCGTCCTCGGTGTTCTGACCAGTTTCTGGTACTCACGTGTAAGTATCCGTGATGTTGGATTGAAGAGATGCCGATGCTAATCTGGACAATAGTCTCGTGGATTCAAGTCGGCGCATCAGATCATCGGCTTCATCGTAGTTGGTTTCCTCCTGGGCCAATTTGCCATTGGCTTTCTGCATCAACAAAAGTACAAGAAGACGCAGCGGGATACGCCATACAAGGTCGTCCACCAATGGCTCGGTCGCATCACCATTGCTCTCGGTACCTTCAATGCATTCTTGTACGTTTATCGCCTTCGAATCATCTCGTCAATGTGCTAACATGTGCAGGGGCTTCTCCTTTGCTTTGAACCGCCGATTCAATTACTTCCTCGCAGCATTCATCATCCTCATGCTTCTGGTCTCGCTGTTCTTCACCTTCGGAGGCAAGTGGGTCCGCGGCCGGCTTCCAGGCAAGTTCGGCAACCAGGGAACGGGCGGATACAACCCGGAGCCGTGGAGACAAGCGCCTCCGCAAGGCGGTTACGCATACACCGGTGCCGCTCCGCCCGCCTACCAGCCGCCATCTCACCAGAATCAAAGTGTTGGCCTGACTAGCATGGTTGCGGGCCCCACGCAGCCGACGAAGGAGAGGAGCGGTAGTCGCGACTATCGGAACAACGATCTGGGTTCAGCACACCAACCGCGAGAGATGGTGTAAAGCACTCATCTGGCATCACTCCGACACTGATATGAATATTGTCTGCATTCTTGGCGTTGCGTGGGACAGGGAAACGAAAGTGAATGGAAAATGTAAGCTAGATCGCCTTTGCGGATGGCCTTCTGCTTCAATGCTATGATTTAACTGTATATTTAATGTATTTCACACACCTAGTTTCGTACTACAAGATGCATGATTCGATGAACTGCTGGTGTATCAGCCTGAGGATGCTAAAATGGCTGCAAAGATTTGACGTTGAGGCTAGGTAGAAATGGACTTGCTAGTCGTAGTGCTGAGCGAGACCGGACGGCGTGATCGTCTTCGGCACCGAGTCGGCAGATTGCGACATTCGTCGTTTGACCGGCAGTGGGTCGCCTGAAGATGCCAAAGCTCTTTTTTTCCACTGAGCCTTCCTTGCTGGCTTCACGATCGAGTGGTGAGAGATACAGATTCCGCATGCCTTTTAGATGAATAGATGTTCTCAATCAAGGCTGGCTGAAGGGAGAGATTGCCAAGGAGCTCCGCTTTGGTAACTCTAACGCACGGGATCCGGCGCGCCATTCAACATCAACGGTTCGGTGGAAAAAGAAATTGCGGGTACACCGGTTCGCCGGCGCCGGGATCGGCCGTTCGGGGCTCGGCCAAGTTGCAACTTTTCACCGTTGTGACGTACCGGCGTCGAGCGGTCAGCTAACCATGGTAGCCGCAACCATTATGACACGCGACTTGCCAAGAACTTGCAAAGCGTGTGTGTGCATCTTTTGGCGCGCCGAGCAAAAGATTGTTGAGCGGTAGCGGCTGACTCTTGTTACATGCTTGCCCTGGTGAGGATAAGTGGCGGCAACTTGTTTCCGTTTCGTTTTTCTGCGCTCGCCTGCTGCCGCACGGCTCGATCCCGTCCCGACTTGAGCGGAGTTTTCCCGACGTTCATTTTGATCTTTTGTACACTGGGCCCAGCCTTTCCCAACTTCATCCCTTGAACAACACCGTTCTTGTCAGCATTCCTCCACTCATCTTTGGCCGGATGGGTTGTGTGTTTAGCTTTTCTCTTGGTGTGTCTTGCAAGCATCCAAAAACGTGTTGAAGATTGGGTTTCCGTCACTACATCTCTGGCGTATACACACGCTCACTTGTAACTGGCCAAACGAGATACGCCCGTATTTGTGATCTCATCGGTCAACGGCGGAGTGTAACCCAAGACCATCAAATCGGCACCGGGGCCCCCACACAATGCCGCCGCGGCGCACGGAGGACGAGCTGGTGCTCCAGCACCATGACGAGGACGCCGACACCGAAAGAGGGGAGTACTCAGACTCCGACGATGATGCGGACGAGGACACGCCCATGATGTTGGGCCAAACCGAAGGCGCGGTCGAGGCTGCCGATGCGCCGCTCTCGAATGCGACCCCCAAGCTTCCGCCGTTACCTCTCGTCAAGAAGCCTGAGAAGCCACCACCCGTGGCTTGGCGCGATCTGCCAAAGAAGCAGCAGTTGTTTGTGATTACGATGACGAGGTTAAGTGAGCCTCTTGTTCAGACTTCTCTCCAGGTATGTGTTACTCTACCTTCAGTAAACTCGTTCCAGCGCAAAAGTTCGGAACATATCAAATCCATAGTATTCACACGCACATTTCCTTGTAAAATAGAGCCATGTCTCTTGAGAGTTACTTCCCATCCGCTAACACAGCCTCCAGTCCTACATGTTCTACCAACTCAAATGGTTCGACCCCACGCTGCCAGACTCGGTGATCTCAAGCCAGGCCGGCATCCTCCACGCCTCCTTCACAGCAGCACAATTCATCACAGCCATGATCTGGGGCCGCCTAGCCGACTCGAAGCGCTTCGGCCGCAAGACGGTCCTCATGATTGGTCTCCTCGGCACCTGCTTCTCCTGCATCGGCTTCGGCTTCTCCCAGTCCTTTGCGCAAGCGTTGTTTTTTCGGTGTATCGGCGGCGCAACGAACGGCAACGTCGGCGTCTTGCGGACAATGATTAGCGAAATCGTCCGTGAGAAAAAGTTCCAGGCCCGCGCTTTCATCCTGCTGCCTATGACCTTCAACATTGGCGTCATCATCGGGCCCATTTTGGGAGGTATCCTCTCCGACCCGGCGGGAAGCTACCCTTCGCTCTTTGGCGATGTTGCATTCTTCCGGAAGTACCCCTACGCGACGCCGAACCTGCTCAGCGCAATCTTCCTCTCCTGCGCTGCCCTATCCGTCTGGCTCTGCCTCGAAGAGACGCACGACGCCCTCCGCGAAGAGGGCCCAGACCTCGGATCCCGCGTGGGCGCAAGCATCGCCTCCCTCGTCCGGCGCCTCATCGCCCGTCGGAGGGGCAAAAAAACCATCGGCAACGACGCCGGCGAAGCGGCCTACACGCCCCTGCACTCCAGCTCCGCAAGCACGACAGACGTCGACGTCGAACTCTCCCCCGAATCCGCGCCACCAAAACAAAAACCCCGGCCCCGCTACCGCCACCGCCTCCCCTTCCGCCGCATCTTCACCCGCAACGTCCTCATGACCTTCTCCGCCCACTTCTTCCTCGCCTTCCACGTCGGCACCTTCAACGCCCTCTGGTTCGTCTTCCTCTCGACCCCGACCTCCGCCGCGCCGCCCCATCTCCCCTTCCGCTTCTCCGGCGGCCTCGGCATGCCTCCGCAGTCCGTCGGCATGGCCATGGCCATTTTGGGTGTCATCGGCATCAGCCTCCAGCTCCTCGTGTATCCGCGCCTGTCAGCGCACCTAGGCACCGTCAAGGCGTGGCGTCTCTTCCTCTACTTTTTCCCGGTGACGTATTTCCTGGTGCCGTACCTCGCCGTCGTGCCCACCACCGACGCCGCGCCGCCGCCGGGGCCGAAGGGCGGGCCCGCGATTTGGTTTGCCATTGTCGGGGTGTTGCTTTTCCAGGTGCTGGGACGGACGTTTGCGCTGCCGGGGCAGACGATTTTGATCAATAACTGTACGCCGCATCCGTCTGTGCTGGGGACGATTCATGGGCTCGGTCAGAGTGTTAGTAGCGCGGCGAGGACGATTGGGCCCGTGTTGTGCGGGTGGCTTTATGGACGGGGGCTCGAGGGCGGGGTTGTTGGTGCTGTGTGGTGGGGGTTGGCGGGCGTTGCGGTCTTGGGGGTGATGGCGAGCTGGGCTGTTTGGGAGGGGGATGGGCATGAGGTTTGGATTGATGGGGATGAGGTTGCTGCTGAGGAGGAAGAGGAGGAGCGGAGCCGGTGATGATGGGTTTGTGGTAGACGGAGTGGGAGTTTGTAAATTTGAACGCATGTGTTTCTCTAAATACACATTAATACAGCCTCCAGGATAGAATACAATAATTCGCGGATTTATCCATCTCATACTAGCCTGCGATTCGATTATCATGGAGTCAGATACCAACTCATTCGCCTATAGACTTAAGATAACGGTCCTCTGGTTCTGTGTAGACCTCTCTGCTTCGGAGCTCGTAGTACCATTCTTTGATCATCAAGCTGCTAAATTCTCATCACCAACACACGTTCGATATCAGAGAAGCAAGTAAGGGGGGGGGAGGCTCCGACATGAGTCTCAACAGAACCGTGGTTCACGCGCCCCAGGCTTAAAACCATATTTTCTGTTCCTCTTCTTTTGCTTACGCTTCTCAGCATGAGAGACTCCAGGCTTCAGCTGCCACCATTAGAATCCCCTGCGGGAATGCCAGAGGATTTTCAAGCATCATATTTGAGTGGCGTACATTATTGGAGCCTGCTATTGTCAGCCCAGAGGAGAGGATTTCTGGCAGTGTCGTGCCACCAACGTGCTCCTTCACCTGCTATTTTGAGACCTAAATCCTGTGCGTAGTATTGGATCTTGATTGATTATGGAGGGCGGCTACGGCTTACAAGTGGAGGTTGTCGACATGTTTGCAGGCTTATGTGCTTGACGTGCAGCAGGATATTGGTTTCGCCAGCCTTATCTCGCCAGCCTGATCTGACATACCTTTAATCCTCTTTCGACCCTCCCAAGAGGACACATTCAAATATGTACTTCGCGTGTCCCTCGCGCGACTTCTAACTCCCTTGCCCTTTCTTACCTCGACTTTTTCGTTTGTTCGCTATCGACTTTTGTTTCCACTTCAGTGGCGTACACCATTTGTCTTCTCACGATGCGCCTCGCCACAATAATCTTTCTGTGTCTCTGGTCTTGCATATGCAATTCAAGCGTCTTCCGCAGACCACCAGGCGCCGGCCCCACAGGAGACTTCCGGGACAACCCAACTTATGTCATAGGAGAGATCCTCGACCTCCAATGGGATTCCGACGATAATTCGGCCGTTGATTTGACCATAATCCAAGTATCCGAAGAGTCAGAACCAGCTTCTGCCACGTTGTTTTGTTAGTCCCCCCATCAACTTACTTACTGTTGAGTATACTTGACATTCCACGGACGACTTACCTCTTCCCTCGGGCCGATCTAGCGAACCAGCAAAGAACGACATACAACTGGCAAATCAGATTCGACGGCTTTCCATCCAGCCATGACCCGAATCTGAGCGACATCTACTTCTTCCGACTCCTGCCGGCCGGGGTGGGTGGTGCCGGCTCCACGTCCCACTACTTCAACATCACGAGTAACGCCGCGTCGTCGGTACCGTCTTCGTCGTCAACATCCGTTTCGGCCACTACGGTTACATCTACCACTACAAACACCCCGAAATCAGGCGATGGCGGGCTAGCAGGAGGGGCGGTAGCCGGTATCGCTATCGGAGTTATGATCGGGACGCTCGCAGTTGTTGGCGTAGTCTTCATCTTGGTTCGGAGGCGCTGGAAGAAAACGAAGAGGGGGAGACAGATCATGGCTGGGCCCACGGCTGCTGGCGGCACGGAGGAGGTTCACTTCTACAAGCGAGACATGCCTGCACCGTCACGTGAGGTGTATGGTGAGAGTCGTCGCTTCGAAGCGGAAGGTTCAGGACCCAGCGACATGAGGTTTGAAATGTCAGGTGATGTTGTTGAACGGAGAGAAAACATGGGCCTAGGACAAGGCAGTGGGCACCACTACTAGCGATCATTGCATCCCGAGACGGGAGCGTGATGTTAGCGGTCTTTCAGTCCTCGAAATGGGGCATAAGGGACGATGGGTGCCATGGTATCTTGATCGACCGCGCGAACAGCAGAGAGACTCGAATAGTACGTATAGATTTCGGTTGGTGCCACGCCGATTCTCCGAGTTTATTTTTCCCTGATGACAAGAACCGGACGTTGAAACATCACATGGCAAACATCATTGCCAATGGGCTTTTTCTCGAATTCAGTCTCTGGAGCACAAGGCAGACTTCTCAACTCAGCAATGCAGTGTCTCTAAACTTCGCATCTCCCAATCTGCATCATTGGGCAGATTCCAGGTTTTACATTCGCACTAGTATTCTGAGGCTTTGTGTGTTGCGTTTGATTGGTGTCGTGTGCTGCAATTTCTTTTCAGCTTCACTCCAAACCGCTCAGGACGGCACAACTTCATGCCGAGCCTTCTGCGGCTGAATATGGCGGTCACACATCCGAGACTTTTGGTCTTCTTAGCGTAACGGTGCCAGATTGCCAAGAATATCAAAATGCCCACGATGCCCTCTTATACCTGTTCTTTGAATGTCGAACATGCCATAGTTTCCAAGTCGTGATATCGAGCAAGGAGACCAATATGGACCCCAATAGACAGCTATACTTTCCACCACCACCAGGTCAGTCTGGAAATCCGCCGCCGCCTATTCCACCTCGACCAGAAACAACAGCGACGGCGGTTTCTTCTTCCCATGGCTATCCACAAGGACCATTCCAGCATTCTCCAACTGCACAAAGTCCTCACTATGGCGGGCACCATTCTCAACAAATGTATCCGCCCACTTACGGAGCTCCTTCTTATCATCAAAGTCCTCCCAACAGCCACAATTACTATCCTCCAGGTTCCGCAAGACGACCTGAGCCAACTCCTCACAACTCCTTTTCAAACGGCCAACCTCCCTCCTCCAAGCCATACTGTCCCTCGGCGACGTATACACCCTCCAGCCACGGACCACCTTCAACCCAGAGCCCTAGTCTATCAGGCGCTATACAACAGGCGACTTCGTTGTTTTCAGATGGCGAAAAGGTTGTCAAGTCATACCATGGACTCAAAAGCAAAGCTAGAGCCAAAGTCACCCAATTCGTCTCCCAGGCGGTGACGCCTTCACAGCCGAGTTATAGCCCTCAAGCCCAGTACGCTCAGAACCACAACCCACCATCCAATCCTTCGCCATATTTTCCTTCTTTTATTCATTCACCTGGTGTTCAGTATCAACAATATCCGCCACCTTCTCATCATCGCGAGGGTCCGAAAGAGACTCTGCCAACTCAACCAGCACAGCCCCTCTACTATCACCCGGTCACACCTCAGGCACAACCCTCCCCTGTGTCATCTTCTGGTCCAGTTGTGGTACCGTACCAACGAGACCAGAATAGCGAGCAGACTCAACAATATTCCACTCCACACTATCACGCCCCAGCATCACCAAATGGCCCGGAAAAAAACTCATCTGGCAAACCGTCATACAACGCTCCTTCTCATGGAAGCTGCAGTCTCAATGCTGCCATTCTGCAACACGCTGCATGTGCAGCTTTGCCAGTAACTCTCAGACCGCCAGTGATAACAATGCAGCAACTTCCCGAGCATCAGCAACATACCCAATATGCCCAGGAAGTAGCTCCTCGCCCCCTGCAAGCCACACCACAATCGGGAAGACCTACAGCAAGTTCCATTTATCCTTCGGCCTCAGTAGTAGAAGTCAATGTTGCTGACTACCCACCGCCCCAAACCCCAATTTCCGATAAAGCCGTTTCTGTTTCTCACGAGGAGGTGCCAGCAACTAGTGCAGTCGATCAGGTTTCCAACTTACTGGGCAATGTGACCATTCGCGAGGCCACTTCGTCACAGAACACTCCTCCGGGGGCTGACAATGTCGACTTCCCCGACTACAAAAGAGCCATTCCCCGCATCACAGAAGATGGCAAACCCAACACGATCGCTTGGGAGTGCCCGGCAGACCGAGAGGTTGAGTATGAAACGGACTGGTATCATATACCAGACATCCCAAACTTCCTCGTCTGCACACACTGCCACGAGAGATGCCTTGCGCAAACTCCCCTGGAAGACTCTTTTAAACGCACTCGGGAACCAAATGGACGTTGTCGGTTCAATGCTCCCCGCATCACCAGACTCCTTCTACCGGAGTGTCTCAGGCGCAAAGAAATTGCTCCTCTGCGAGAGTTCATGACAGCTCGATTCGATGTCCAGGACTGCAAGGGCCCCTCGGGCGCCGATGGATCAGCGGGAATCAAATGGTTCAAACCACTTGACGACAGACTAGACGGCTTCGTATCTTGCGATGCCTGCTATCAAGATGTCGTGCTGGCAACATCGTTCCGTGACAAATTTGTTCCGCATGACTCACCTCAAGCGTCTGACGACATCTGGGCCTGCGACATATGCCTCCCCTTCATAAATCGATCGATAGTCAAGCTTTCAAAGAGAGGGCTAGATGGCTGGAATGAATGGGCACCAATAGCAGCAAAGCACATCGCTCTTCCTGAATGCGACAAGGGGCCTGTATCACCCTCCTCGAGGCGCTGGATGCAACTGCGCGGCCAGCGATACCCAGATTTCAAGATTTGTGAAAAATGCTACGAAAAACACGTGGCCCTGACCACACTAGACAAGGAGTTTGAATCTGTTCCACATGTGCCAAGTCACACGGGGTTAGACTGGATGGACGCCGCTCTGGGTTACACAACGACAGAGCCGACCCCCATTACATGCAGCATGAACGGCTTGCCTACTGAGGTCGCCCTCATAGCTGCCAATGACTTTCAGGACATCAACGTTCTCCACCAAGCTCTAGAGGTTATCATCTCGTGCCCGCCGTGTACTGACCGGGGCATCATCAACGGCACATGGTACACCTTGACTGACGGCGACTGCGACGGCTACAGGATATGCGCTCCATGCCACGCCGCTTTCATTGCTCCGTTCGGGCTGGATCGATTCTACGAGCAGTCCAGGAGTGAAGAAGTAGGCGAGACCTACGTCTGCAGCTTCGAGCGTTCCGCCCCGCGATGGCTGGAACACATGAACCTCAACGCGGAAGCCGTCGAAACCGGCGTGTGGTCCCGCTACTCCGTCTTCGCCCGCAAGTTCGCCGGCGTCCCGCACTGCGCTAGAGAAAACCTCGTCGACAACCGCCGCTGGTACGGCTGGGATGACTGCACAATCTGCCCAGAGTGCTACATCACCTTCTGCGCGGCGAGCTCGCCCCCTTCTCCCAGAATCACCATGGGATTCAACAACGACCTCGTCGTCGAGAAGAGGATGTGCTGCCTGTACTCCCCGCGCATGCGGCAAAAGTGGATCGAGGCGTGCGAGACGGGCAATGCAGAGGCGCTGATCGAGTTTTCAAGGGTGCGGCACGGGGTTTGGGTGCAGACTATACTGCAAGTCAAGGCGCTTCGCCAGATGCAGGACATGCAGTTTGCTAATGCCATGCATGCGGGATACATGAGTGTCACCTACCAGGGGATCGAAAGCTTCAAAGTCGTGGCTGGCACGACGGATGGGTACGAGTATGGGAATAGTCAGCTTGGATGGCATGCGACGCAGGAGGGCGTGACGAGCGCTGCTTTTTCGAATCAGATGCGGGCTGGTATGGCTCAATCTACTAGTTCGGGTACTTGGAACACGATATGGCAGTTGTTGGTGCAATGGTCCGAGTATGAGTAGGGTGGGCAGGTCATGGCAAGCTGAGATCGCGTTTCTGGCTGACTTCTCTATCCGAGTTTCATCGTAAGCCTCCTTACTTTGGCATGAACTTCACCAAAGTATTCCTTCTGGTCATTTGCATCTCCGTCGACGATTCATGTTAGCTAGCTTCTCACTACGAATGATGTGGCCAGATCTGTCTGATGTTCTTCATCATCTGCATCCTCGAGACTAAAAAATATCTGGGCAAAACATCCACAATAGAATCGAGTTGCGGCAACCAAGCCTAAATTCAAGCCTTGAGGATAGTGGACGGACCTGGCGAGCTCCTAGTATCCTGCATGTACGTAGGACTCAGTTGAGTCCTGATTGAATTGACACATGCGTATCTTACGTGAAACGACATCTTATTGAAAGCTTGGCTTACATTAACTAATGTATTTCTACATTTAGTTGCGCATCCATTTCGTAGATCCCAAGTTCTACGATGGAACAGTCGGCTCAAAAACGTCCTCCAAAACATCAACAACACCACTCATCCAGCTATCCCACGACGCAGGATCCTCCTCATCCTTGTAAAACTTGAGCCATCTTAGTAAAATACGATAAGACCCTTTCTTCAACCCCAATCCCCTCGTAGCGGTAACATCAAGAATGCTATACGACCATCCAGCCTGATAACTCGTCTGCGGTAGCCACCCGTTCTGAATCATATTCGAACCGAGTATAGGCACGCCAGCAATCGTACCATTCTCCGTCATCGACGTCTCGGTAAGATTATCAAACTTCACGCTGGGATCGAAGCCGTACCACGTCGGCGTGAAGTTTGTGCTCGCGCGCACGATATCGAAGCGGAACTTGCGCATCGGCTGAAGCGAGGTGAAGAGCGCGACAGGGTAGTCCGGGTACTGGAACGAAAAGGAGCGGTAGTTGCCAATATCGGCCTTGTCGCCGTTGGCAAAGATTTGCGGGGCGGAGAGGGGGTCGCGCGTCGGTGTCAGGGCGTTGAGGCGCTGCTCTGCGGTGATGTTTTTTAGGCCGACGATGGGCGTGCTGCTGTAGTTGTAGGCTGGGCCCATGTACGGGATCGTGAAGGTCTCGTTGGCAGAAGAGGAGATACCGATGAAGCCGGAGAAGAGGGGGACGAGGCTGGCGTCTGGCGATGATGGGGTTGTGATGGAGAACGAGACGTTGGCGGAGCCGCCGGCTGGGACGGTGACCTGGCTTCCTACTGTGAAGTCGATTTTGGCTGAGAATAATTGGGGGATGTAGCCGACTTGCGCGGTACGGCCCGGACCGTCTGAGAAGGGCGCTGTTCCAGCCGCAGGTATGTTTGACAAGCTGTATGTCACGTCGGTATCTGACGGGTTGTCAATGGTCAAAGTAGCCTCCTCGACATCAACCAGTTTGAATTCCCCTGGAGATACCACTGTTCCCGGAAACACGGCTTTGTGAGCCTGAACCAGTCCTGCTCCCTGTTGAACCGTAGGCGCCATCAGATCATAGTCTGCCATATTGATTTGCGCAGCGGTGGTTTGCATCAGCTCAAAGATCTCTTCAACAGACAAGTCGGGATTCTGTGACTTGATCAGAGCATATACACCCGATATGTAAGGCGTCGCCATGGACGTGCCGCTGATGATGCCAAAACCGCCGCTATTCTCTATGAGCGGAAAAGTGGCCAGGATCATTCCGCCGGGGGCAGCTATCTCGGGCTTGAACGCGAAGTCGGCGTTGGGACCTGTGTGACTGTTAGCCAGCACACCAAGAAGGGAGACTTTGGAAATAGGAGAACTTACCGATGCTGCTAAAGTTGTTTGGTGACCCGCCGCTGATTTGATCCACTAGAAGAGGCGTCTGGGACTCAACAAGCAATTTGTACTGTCCGCTACTCTTGGCCGCGTTCGAAAGTATCTCGTCAATCACGCTGCCCATAGGATAGATATATCCATCTGCAGTAAGAGACGGCGTTGGCACGGCGTGGCCTTTGATGAAAACATCATCGATGGTGGGCTCCGGGTATGTAATGACACGAGTGAAGTTGGCCGCAGAGGCATACGTCTGAACCTGCGTCGGCGAACACGAAGGCCCTCTCTTGACGGCGACAATGTACTCGGAAATCGGCCCCTGGAGACTACCGGCTGACGGATAGTCGGAAGCCGAACAGCCAAACGTGTAAGTGGATGTGTTTCTCCCGGCCCACGCAACAGGATACTCTCCCTCCGGGAAGGGATGCAACGCTCCGTAACGGAACTCAGCACCATTGGAGTCACGGATCGGGTACGTTGGAAACTTTGCGTTCTCAACCGACGCAACACCAAGCGCGTCATCCGCCCCGCCCGGCAAATTGATGGAGAACATGCCTTGTGTGCCAGAGTTACCAGCAGCAGCAACGACAGCTACGCCTTTTGCTCTCAGAGCGGTGACCGCAGAGGGGAGAATCGACCCAGGATAACCCGACCAGGTCCCAAACTCCCCAATCGAAATACTCACAACATGGGCACCCTCCTCAACAGCTCTCTGCATAGCCGCAACAATAGCGTCATCCGACGCACTCCCGTCACACCCAAAAACGCGGTACATGCCCAGCGTCGCCCTAGGAGCAACGCCAACGAGACCAGGAAACATGGAGGCGTTGGAGGGGACCTCCATACCGATAATGCCTGCCACATGGGTGCCGTGGAAGCTGTCAAAACAGCCTGGCCGCGGGTCCGGGCCCGGGTTCGGGGTAGAGTTGCCGAACCCGTAGTCATCGCCGACGAAGTCGTAGCCGAACTCGACCTTGCAGCCTTTTCCGAAGCATCCTCCCAGGGCGGGATGCAGATAGTCGATCCCCGTGTCGATGACGGCGACGCGTACGCCCTCGCCGAGCACGCCCTTTGCGTGAACGCGGTCGACGCCTGTCATGGCGTGTGGGCTATTCCAGTCAACATCCGCCCTCCGAGACAGCGAGGATCTGTATTGGTCTCTACCGCTGTCATAGTTGCGTGTGACGTGCTCGCTAGTCTTGCTGCTGGGGGGAGACCTCTTCACGTTGCTGCTCGGGCGATGGGGGTGCGCCACGCTCTGGACGGGAATAACATTCTCGACACCCAGCAGAGCTCGCAACTTTTCACTGTCCGAATCGCTGTCTAGAGAGACTGATACGCCGTAAAATACGCTTTTGTCAGTGTACTCGTATCGCACACGCAGCGGGATAGACGCTTCGGCTGCCTTGCTGGCGAGATCATGTGGACTGATGCTGAGTCCTGCTGTCGAGTCCTTGGACAACTCGACAAAGTACGTCTTGGGCACTGCTTGGGAGGTAGTTACAGCAAAATAACAAGCCACTGCCGCGGCGAAGTGGGCGACGAGACGCATCATCAACTAGACGCTGAGTCGGCTTCTCCACGAATAGACAGTCTAAGAAAGACTCTGAAGCGCAACTTGCCCCGACTAGTATCCATTATGCGACTATGCTGTGATTTTAAGAGTTCAAAGTCCGATTGGCATGGGCATCCGTCAATACGACACCGAGATAGCCGGTTGTGGGCCACCACGGAAGGGTGGGGTTTTCTCGTATTTGGCAGATCCTAATTCCCTGGCCCAATCGACTTCCTATTTCCAGGCCGGGGATAGAATTAAGGAGAGCCCGCTTGTGGATCAAGACGAACTTGCGGGAGCTAAAGCCAGTGAGGTTGTAGTCAAAGTTGTAGCGCAATATAGTGCTGGGTTAGAGGAACAAATGGAGAAGGTAACATGTCGCCAGCAGCGGATATAGGTTTCCGGTGTTAACTTGATGAGAAATTCCCTTTTCGACTTACCTATGCATAAGCCAACAAGCCAACTGCTTTAATACAGGCAAAGGCATGCTAGCTCGCACAACTTCTCAACGCGACAGTAAGGGTATCGCAAGACGCGATACGCTCAAAATCGTCACCGGTTCACGAATTCATTGTAAAGCAGGTTTATTTGTCTGGGTGTATCTTCAAAGTTTCGTCTCACTGCTCCATCCCCTAACCGCCCGCCGTTGAGATCTCTCTGGCAATCACATCGATCACACTCTGAACATGAGTTCATCACCAGACACTTGGTGTCATTCCTCTTCATTCTCCACCATCTCCCTCCTCGATCACACGAAGTGGCATGATCTATTTCTTCTTCTGGCCGGCAACGACGGTGATTTCCTTGGGAAGCTCGGCGACGTAGGGCAGGAATTCGGGCTGGCCGGGAATGTACTTGCGCAGCACCTCGGGGACCTTGAACCCGTCGGGCGTCTGGTAGTTCTCCATGATGCAGCAGAGGGTTCGCTCGGTAGCGCAAAGGGTCTTATTTTTGGTCAGTCTTAGCGACACATTCGTAGAATTCGAAGAAGAATCAGAGGGGATGACTTACAGCGTTGAGAGCGTGGACGTACTCCTTGCGGCCACCACCGGGGGCCTTTGTGGGGCAAACATGTCAGCAAATCTTGGATTTAAGAAAACCAGTATAGCTTCTTGGATGGGACTCACCTCCTTGGCCTTCTTGACACCGTAACGAACCTCGAGCTCGCGGGTCTGATAGTCCGTGCCTGTCAAAGTCAATATTGCTAATCCGTCTCATGAACATTAACTTGATCTTACAGTTGGAGCAAGACACAAGCTCCTTGTACTCCTGCTGGAAGGGGAACCAAGCCTCCAAATCATACTTCTTAGCGGCGGCGTTGTTCCTTCATCTGTTAGTCATTCCTCTATAATACTCAATCTCCAAAGTTCGCTTACAGAGCACCGGAGACGATGGAAACAACCCTATGATTGGCAGTTAGCTTTCTTGTTCCACAACTTGGGCTTGAAGATAGCCTACCGGTAGGGAAGACCCAAGCTCTTGTAGAAATCCTCAGAAGCAGCAATCATCTCGTCAAAGTGCTTCCAGCTATCCTCGGGCTTGCAGAAGACAAACTGCTCAATCTTTTCGAACTGGTGCACGCGGAAAAGACCCCAGGCCTCCTTACCGCTATTAGAATTTTCCATGTCAGTCAAAGTCTCTAGAAGGGAACCACATCGCCGCTAGACAGAGTTCAAACATACTGCTTGCCGGCCTCCTTGCGGAAACATGTGCTGTAACCGGCGTACTTGATGGGCAGCTGGCCACCCTGAATCCACTCCTCGCTGTGAAGTGCGGAGAGAGGCTGCTCGCTGGTGGCAATGAGGTACTTCTCCTCGCCATCACCCGTGACCTTGTACCTGGAGAGTCTGTCAGAATGCTGGAGGGTCGCTCTCGGGTAATAGGGCCGGCCTTACAGCTCCTCGTCGAATTGCTCAAGCTGGGCAGTCTTGGCCATCTGGTTGCGGTTCATGAAGAAGGGAGGCTGGTTGGGCGTGTATCCCCTGTTGAAGAGGAACTCGAGACCGTAGTTGATGAGCGCTTGGTTCCTGTTCGTCAAAGTCAATTCTCCCGTTATTACCACAAGCTTATTCTCTCTTCTCTCCTATTCCAGGACGTACAGGAACAGTCCGTATCCGGTCAAGCAGTAACCTCTGTGACCGACGAGCTTAATAGCACGCTCGGAGTCGTAGCCCGCGAGTCTGGTAACAATCTGGTGGTGGCTAAGCGTCTGCTCAGTCTTGGCACCGAGTCCGGCCTCGGGCTTCCATTCGCGCTCCGTGACGTTGTTGTCCTCGTTGTCGCTGATAGGGACGGACTCGTGAACGTAGTTTCCGATGCTCTTGGCCTTGGCGTTGAGAGTGACGAGCTTCGCTGTCGCCTCATCCTCCTTGTCCTTCTTCTGCTTCTGCAGATCCTCCTTCTTCTTGAGCAGGTCGTCGGCGTTCTCCTTGTTCTTCTTCTTCATGCCAATCTCCTTCTGTACGGCGTTGATCTCGCTTCCGATCTGCGTCGCAGAGTATTGGGTCTTGCGGTGGTCTGTTCGGCTCCGGAGAGGTTCGTGTTAGCCCACATTGTTCTTCCGCCAATGTGCATCCAGCTATGGACTTGGAGGCCAAAGTAGCTTTGAGGACTCGTACCATCCCACAGGGCGATAACCTCGTCGACGACCTCGACGGGTGCATGGCGACGACGCTGGGAGTCGCGGATCTTCTCTGGGTCACCACCGCGCTCCTTGATGAAATCTTGAAGGTCGAGCATGATTGTAGCTTTGGTGGGGTAGAGAGGGAGATTGACGGGGCGGACTACAGGAAAATATGCTTGTTAAAAGGAAATCCACACACAACTTTCCACATGAGCACAACTTACATGTTCCTTGGGACTGCGGATGGATTGCAGCTGCGTCGGGGTGACTGTCTCGAGGTGACTCAGGAGCGACTTTGTAGGGTGGTAAATTGTCGTTGCTGGATGGTGGTGGGGTTCTTTGGCGGGGGCGGGGCTGAGGCGGTCAAACGCAAGGGGTCTTTCGCGCCTGCTCCATCTGTACCTCGACTTACGCGCCCATGCGACACAATCAATCACTCAATTTACAGCCACCGGGGGAGGACGAGATGCGTCAGAAGCAACCCATGGTAAGTGCAGTTGCGACCCAGTCATATTGCATACCGTCGTGAAGCTCAAGTGTTCTCCTCTGCCGTCCAGAGTGCTAGCTATTGTACAGTTCTGCCATGAATACCCTTGAGAAACGAACCCCCAAACCCTGTTATTCCCCGCCCTCGAGATCATTCTCGCCAATGTCCAATGTTACATGATCGCTAGGCACTCAGGCCTGAGTGACTTCCTCGACCTTGGTCTTTTTCGATGAGTCATCTGCCTCCGCAGGCTCTTCGGCCTTGCGCTTCGTGCCATTGGACTCTGCGCCATTTGCCTGAGTCTCCTCAGGCTTGGGCTCCTCCTTGGCCTTCTTTCGTACGAGGCCGGTGAGGTCAGTAGCCGTCTTCTTAGCCTCCTCGACGCGAGCTTGCGTCTGAGCAGCAGATTCGCCAAGAGCTGCTCCAAGGATACCGCCCAAGCCGTCACCACCAAGAGCGGCGTTGACATCAATTGGCGGCTTGCGAAGTTCCACAAGCTGCACACGGTTAGTAAAGATACCATCGAAGACGGAGCATGAGTACTCACGCGTTGCTCCATATCCGTGATCATGTCCTTGACATCGGTGATCGTGGCTCTGGTGACTTCGTTGTCTTCCGGAGATGCCATGGTCGCAAGTTCTACTTCCTTATTCTGAAGTTTGAGCTTGGTGCTGTTGATGGCTGCTTCCAGCTCATTGGCGGCCTCCTCGCGAAGCTTCTCGTCAAAAGGCTTGCTCTCTCCTTGCTCACCCTCCTCCTGGGTGGTTGTGACGGAGGAAAACTCGAGCGCCAACGAAAGCTTGAAGTGCGCCTCAGCGATAACTTCCGAATCCTCGCTGTACAGCTCCTTCTTGTACTTCAATGACTTGCGCGAGTCCTCAATGGCGTCGGGGTATCTACATCTCAGTTAGGGCTGAAGTCTTCGTGTAGGGTACCTTAGTGCGCTTACCTCTCATTCTCTAGGGAAATCTCGGCGAGAAGATCATGGGTATCCGCAAGGCGCTCCTTGACATGCTTGATGCTGAGCTTCTCCCCGTCGACTTGCTCTTGTGCTTTGCCATTGGGCTCCACCTTCTCCAACTCTTCTAGCTGTCTGCTGTAGAGGATACGAGCCATATCGAGCACACCGAACGCCACAGCGAGATCGTCGTCTTCTTCCTCTTCTTCGTCATCACCCTCGGCCTGGGCAAAAAGTTAGCTTCAGTTCAAAATCGTTGTCAGATTTGGATTACAAGTCTTCAAACTGCTCAGTGACAGAAGCCAAGACTCGTTCAGCCAGAGACCAAAGGAACAGAATCTAACCAACCTCTTCCTCATCCGATTCGTCGTCGAAGTTTTCGTCGCCAGTGAACTGGAACAAGGGCTTCTTCTCCTCGGCAGTTTCCTCGGGTTTGGCTCCGCTCGCTTCACTTGCAACAATTGCAACACCCTCTTCAGTTATCCTCTGCGCCTCGGTTTCGGCTGGCGCATCGGTCGATGTGGGCTCGGCAGCAGTCTTCTTCGGGGCTCTGGACTTGGGTTTCGCCGCCTTCTTCTCACCGGCAGCCTTGCCTCCTAGGACGTCGCTCTTGCTCTGGCCGACCTTGAATACACTGCGACCGTAGAGGAAGAGAATCTCAGCGTTCGCGGGTTGCATTTCGCCATTGATTTCATCTTGCAGCTCCGCAGCCTTGGTAAAGCAGTCGGTAGCTTCCTCGTACTGCTTCTTTGCGTAAAGAGCAGTTCCCTTGGCAGTCAGGTCGGCGAGAGTGACCTTCTTAGAATTGACGTCTTCCTCAGACTCTTCTCCGACCGTGGCTGGCGTGTCTTGTTGTGTCGGCGCGAGCGCATCCTGCTTGATCTCTGGGTTTGCGACAGCCTCCACAGCTGCCACAGCTGGGGCCTCGACGACGGGGACCACTGCGACAGGGACCTCGGCGGCGATCGTAGGTTGTTCGGATGCGTCAGCCATCATGGGGGTTTAATCGGGGTTGCTTGATGATAATTGGAAGGATGGAAAAGCACGAAGTTTTGTGGACGATGGGAAACGGGATGAACGAGGTAAGAAAGGCAATTGAGGAAAGAGAATTGGCAGCCTTTGTCAGTCTGTGGTGTGACGCGCGAGCTCCGGGGAAGGCGCGTTGATTGGGGAACGAAGCTGCAGGGATAGCTTCCGTTCAGCACGTAAAACGAGTTCAGCCCCAATCAAAATCGCGGGTGCGTGGTAAGCTTGATCACTGTGATTAGCACTGTACGTTGCATTAATCCCATGGTTCAATTCTGGGACAGGCCAGCAGGGTGTCGCTGCCAATGCCTTGATTACATGTTTGCCTTGGCAATTGCCGGACGCCTGAATATCGCTCCCACCCCCTATTTCCTCTCAAAGTTGCCCAGTCTCTATCTTGAACCACAAGCATCTGGTTGGAGAAAGAACTACAGCTGCATGTTTGCCGAAGGCGTGCGACTCGGCTGTCCTCTCAAGTGTGCCGAGGAGCCCTTGAACAGGCTCTGCCAGATGAAAGCCTCGCTCAGTAACAGCTCAATGTCCTTCTCCGTCCAAGACTTTGTTGGCAAGCTTTGCAAAAACATCATTATTTCCTGGAAATCCATCTTGACGAGCTTATCCGACCACTTGACCAAGAAAGCCGCGCACACGTATAAGTGAAACTCCGAAAAGCCTTGTTCTTCGGCCTGTAAATGGTTAGATCGATGCCACTAACATGATACTGATGATTGTTCTCACCAAGTACGTGTCCCACATCCTTATCGTATTCCTCACACTTATCTCTCTCATTAAGAGACAGTTCATCCATCGGAAACTGAATTGTATGAACTCGACGTGCTCCTTTTCAAGGTGCTTCGCCAGCCCTGCATCAATCCTTGCAGTGAGATCGCGGAGGGCGGCAACCTGCCTCTGGATACCTGGCTGAGCCACAATGTAGTGGTCTTGTATACCGTCAAGTAGCTTTGTCAAACACCAGAACGAATCTGCTTCTACAGCGTCGAGAACCGATTTTGGCAGTTGACCAGGGTCCATGCCCGATTCAATATCGGCGTCTGCGACATATGTGCTCAAAAACACCTGCCAAAAAGGCGTTACCAAGTCATTGATGCCCTGGACGTAGCCGCTGGCGGGGTGCCGCACTGCCCAGAGGTAGAGTATTCGTTCCAGAGATCTTTGAGTCGCTTCGTACGAGTAAAGTTCGATGTGAGGGTTCGTTCTTGGAACGTCGATACTGATCTGGTGCCAGATTGCCTCATCTAGTCCTCTCGCTTTCCCGGGTGCCGTGGTGGTAGTGCCGCTTCCCCCACTGCTACCGCGGTCAAAGGCCTGCCGAACGCCATCGAGATACTCCTTTCGTTTCCTCTCTAGAGTCGCGACTCTCCTCTCGCTGTTCGTCGGTAGGTAACTTAGTAGGAGTTGCCATGTCATAGCACGAACCTCCTGGGGGATACCGGACCAAGCTAGTTGCCGAAGGTCCTGCAGCGGTATCGTCGACGCCTGCAAGAGCTTCTTGAACTTGTTGATACGAGTAATTCGTGAATTTGCAGCGTCAATCTCTTTTGGCGTTGCGTCGTCGGGTATAACTGGATGGTCAATTAGGTGCAATGCGTTCGCCGGGTCTGTCGCAGTCAGCACGGTCCATTCCAACATCACGCGACATCGCTTACCCCTCAAAATTTCTTTATATTGTGGCCGCAATATCTTCCCTTCGCTCTTTTTCGGCATGGGATAGGTTGGCGCAGGCCTTTCAATGGCGATGTCTGCACTATTCGAGTATCTTCTTGTGTGTAACCCTAAACCGAACGAGTCGTTCAAAGGTGATAGACCGCCGTTTGGGTCTGACCTGTTTTGCGCAGCTTTCTTGCGCGTTCGTCGCTTCATGTTGGACAGGCTTGGCAAGCCAAAGTCATCGCCGTCATCATCCTCGTACCCCATCATGTCTTCCTCGTCCTCGTCGGCTTTCCAGTCATCGTTGGTGTTGGAAAGGAAATTGATGTAACTTTTAATCGGAGGAGACGACAAGCCCGACTGTGGGCGCGAAGGGGGAGAGGCATCGCTAGGCCGGCCCTTAGCGGAGTGTGAGGAAGGAGGTGTTTTCGGTCTGGAGGAGGAACTGGATAGGTTGCTGATTCCAAGTTAGCCGGAAGTGCTGGTACGACTCTCCACGATGGTAAGGGTTCGCACAGTGAATCAAACTTGAGGATATCGGCATGAGAGTAGGCTGCTCCGACAACCAGGTTTGGGTCGCGACCGGTTCTCTTCGATGCGTTCTCGCGTGGGGGCGGCTTCCAAAACGGCGATGCAGAACTACCCCAAGTCAGTTCCGAACTGCGTCGGCGATGCTGCCAAGGCAACGTACTCTGAGCGGTCTGCGCCATCAATAACATGTCAAAGTTAGCCAAGAATTTCCGAGCTTAGTCTCATGAGCCGAGGCTATGCAGCAACGAGCAGCGCGCGTTAAAGAGGTATGACGAAACCCACCGACTTGGACCATTTCCTGCTGCTGCGGGGCAATTAGCATGCGGTGACAGACCCTGGCAGGGGTTTGGGAGAGCATACCTGTTGCGAGGGTTTCTTCCCGCTCCCTGAAGAAGAGAACATGGTGATGCTTCTCTATTGAGGCCGTGTCATTGTGTGTCTTGGTGTTGAGATGCGCCAGACGAGTCGCTTGAGCTCCGAACAAGTGACCAGTGGCCGGACCCTTGCCTCACATTAGTGTACCGCACGCCGCTTTGAGCAGCAGTTGAAGTGGAGTGGGGGGAGGAGGTCACTGTGGCTGATGGATGCGGTTTCAACTGCGTCGTTGTGGCGGCCGAGGTGCAAGTCCAAATGGTAAGTAGCGCAGATGCTTCTTCTAGCCTATTGACCGGCTTGGAAGGAATCTGGGGAACCCCAAACAAACAACGAGAAACTGTTTCTCTAGAGAGTAACTTTTGCAGAGGATGTCCTCAATTATTTTTCAATGGTAGGTCTAAACATTGCGGTACCTTGCATGAACGGATACTGATACCAAACTCTCCCAATCTCATTCCCTTACATACCTGACCGCAACAAGCCAGTTCTGTTGTCCGGTCACGTGAGGCTACAGTCGAGTACGATACCGACCTTGCGGAGTTGGCGCTTCCCAACACATATTGCAGAGCGTGCACGAGCTTTGCCGATGCTTGGACCTTTTCCCTCCTACCCCCAGTTATTGTAGCTCTGATTGGATTGAGCACGCCCATTGGCTCCGCCACAGTCTTAGCTCCACCTTCCTCCTCTTTCACTCAGGCTCTTGCCTAAGAAATATCCAAACAAGCGCTGCTGTGTACACGACCACCTTGTCCCATCAACTTCTCCGCAACAACACAATACGTTCTTTACTTTCCATTTCCTTTCTCTGCATGCTTCGCCTGCAGCGACTTGCCCATCAGCACATCCTCGACAATTATTGAGCACTCGCCAGGATGACCGAGCCCGAGAACTTCGAGGAAGACCTCTTCGCTGATCTGTCAGTAACTACAAGTGTCGTCCGCTACCATCAAGATTTGCTGATACGTGCCACAGCTACGACGATGATACTCCAGCGAAGCCAGCTGCCGCCCAGCAACCCGCGCCAGTGCCCGCACCCGCCCCAGTCGCTGTCCCTCAACAGAGCGTCGAGACGCACGCCGAACCACCTCCCCAGGCTGAACCGGATTATGGCGGCGGTGGTGGCGATGACCAAATGAGGTACGAAGAGGAGGATGACGATGATGAAGTAGACTTCAATCTCGGAGGTGATGGCGGCGGCGGCGGCGGCGGTGGAAGCACCGGTTATGCGCCACCCGCAAATGGGTTTGCCGGCAACAAGCAGGAAGAACCCACGTACTCGACAAGCACGGCCAAGAACCCGAGCGCCAAGGAAGACGGGTAAGTTTTATTTGCCAACTATGTGATTCTTGCACTTGCTACACAAACCATCCCCCACGCACCCACAGTTGGGACGCACTTGTCGACTGGATTAACCTGCAGCACTTTTGCTGCGGTCTGAGGGAACTCGGGCATCAGTGGCCCCATGGTATCTCGTATCGGGCCTGCTTGGTCTAGGGGACTTGGATGGACAAGAGAGGGCATCGACACAAGACGTCGGTCAGCCGCGTCTTGGGAAACATTCTTCAGGGCCATCAAGCAGGCCAAGGAAAATTTCAGAGAAGACATGAGAAGCTTGAAGAAAAGCAAGAAAGAGAAGCCATAAAGAGGTACCGCGAAAAAGTCAGCTGGAAAAGCAGCCTGAGATCACCGAGATATGCCGACGATAGTCAGTCAGTCATCAGTCAGTCAGATCAGGAGCACCCTCGTGCGCCTTCTATAGCCCAGTCGCAGAGAGAATATCCTGCGGTCTTTGGCTGCTGTAGCAAGATTAGCAGCGGATAGCGCTCGAAGCTAGAGCTAGCAGAGACTTGACGATAGCAAAAGACACGAAACATTCGACAATGACCAGGCTATCCGCTCCGCAATTCTCCCCAGACGTGAGAGAGTTTTTGTGGCTGGCTAGCGCTGCTCGTCCTCAACAATCACTGTGGCTGCGGCTGGAATCTGAAATCTTTGGCCTTTCCACGAAGGTGCCGATGCTGAACGAAACCATCCCATGCACGTCAGTTTGATGATTCTTCAACAAATTACCGTCTGAATCTGCTGTTGGCCACAAGGAGGTACCCGTCAAGAAGCAAGAAGCATGTTATATCGGGCTTCAATCAAAATTCCACAATATCAACGCCAGGAAATGCGATCTCAGGCTATCACAAGCCAGTCAGCCTGTTTTTTGAAGAGGGGGAAAATGTGAAGGCAGCTAGCTCATCGCCATTCGAAAGACGACTCAGCCAACTCATGGTCTCAAGGATGCCTCCTCTGTTGCAGCCATACGACGGGAACTCTCATTGGCCACTAGCCCATGCTACGATCTGTGGAAAATGCTTCCTAGAACCAGACCACGAGCACACTCACTCGCGCAATGATTTCCTTGTTTTCGGAACTTGCGATACTTGGTTGATTCACTGACTAATCATTACGTGTCTGCAGCAAGATGTTTATTGGTGGCCTCAACTGGGAGACGACTGATCGTAAGTCTTCGCTGTGTCCGTTACCATCGTACAATTTTCTAATAGCGGCCAGAATCTCTGAGGGAGTACTTCTCTCAGTTCGGAGAGGTTGTCGAATGCACCGTCATGAGAGACAGCAGCACCGGACGATCAAGGGGCTTTGGCTTCCTGACGTTTAAGGACGCCAAGACAGTGAACATTGTTATGGTCAAGGAACACTTTTTGGATGGCAAGATCGTAAGATATCACTGAGCCGACTGCAATCCGACTTGGTCGCTAATATCTCCCAGATTGACCCCAAGCGAGCGATTCCTCGCGATGAGCAGGAAAAGACCAGCAAGATCTTCGTCGGTGGTGTCAGTCAAGATACGACCGATCAAGAGTTCAAGGACTATTTTGCCCAGTTCGGCCGCGTGGTCGACGCAACCCTGATGATGGATAAGGACACCGGTCGCCCTCGCGGTTTCGGTTTCGTCACTTTCGAAAGCGAGGCTGGCGTCGATGCATGCCTCAGTACTAGTCTGGAGATTCACGGCAAGCCAATTGAGGTCAAGAAGGCTCAGCCTCGTGGCAATCTTCGCGAAGAAGAAGAAGCCGCACGACGCGGAGGGAAGTTCAGGAAGGGTGAAGACGGTGCTCAGGGTGGACAAGGCGGAATGGGAGGCGGCCAGATGGGTGCCGCAGGTGGCATGACGCCGCAAGTCATGGCACAGTACTTCCAACGCATGCAGCAGTATTTCGCCATGATGCAGCAACAGATGGCTATGAGCCGAGGCATGGGCCCCATGAACCCGGCGATGATGCAGCAGATGATGCAGATGCAGCAGATGCAGCAGATGCAGAACCAGATGATGGGTCGCGGTGGAGGCGGCAACGGACAACAAGGCATGATGCAGCAGATGACGCCTCAAATGATGCAACAGATGCAGCAGATGCAACAACAGATGCAGCAGCAGATGGGCCAACAGGGCGGCCCCCCTTCTGGACCTAGTGGCAGCTTCAGTCCCCAGCAGCAGATGTTCGACCCGTCTCAAGGAGGCCCGCAGCCGCCACAGCAGCCCGGCGGCGGACAAGGACCGCGCCGGGGAGGCAGCAGCGGCGGTGGAGGTGCTCCCCGCGACCAGTATAATCAGGCTGGTGCATATGCCATGGGCGGCGGTGGCGGTGCTCCGACATCTTGGGAGGGCATGTACGACGACGTTCCCCAACCGAACCAGGGCGGCCGGGGAGGTTTCAGAGGCGGTCACCGCGGTGGCTCTCACAGCGGTGGCTCCCACCAGGGATCACCCGATCCAGCGCATGCCCCGCCTGCTAACGCTCCTACAGGACCCAAGAACGCGGGCAGACCCGGCGCTAACTACCGCGGTGGCGGACGGAGCAGCAACCGGGGATTCCACCCTTACCAGCGTTAGGAGTCTTTGCTGGCGGCCGAAGAGGCCCTTTCTGGCATTGGAAACGGAAGCAATACCGACTATCACAAGGACAGACCGATGTTGATGCGCCATGTCTCGCTAAAAGAGAGCTATTCGAGTTTGAGGGTTCGTTGAGATTCAAAGAGACGAAATGGGCGCTGGGAAGAAACTGCATATACGGAACGAGGTCTCGCATTTTCTCTGAGACAGAGAAATTGGGACTGGAACCGGGGTACGGCTTGGGTTCGGCAGATCTGCTTATTGCTCTCGCGAAGTTTCTCATCTTTCCTTTACACATCATTTTTCTTGGGAAGTTTGTATTATACTCCAAAAAGGAGAGGAAAAAATCAACCACTAATCAGCGAACTACTAAACTTTTTTACTTGTTCATGTGAAACTCGGAAGTGTGAACCTGACATCGCTATGTAAAATAAAAAAAACTTGGGCAAGTCCATGCCAACATGATGAGAAGAAGAATATGTAGACGTTTCGAGTATTCAAGTCGGTCTACCAGAGTCGGCTTGAGGAAAGCCTTGCCCGGGCTTGGCCTTCCGAACCTGGCCCGCAGCTGAAGTTGAACCCGCCAGCCTTTCGGGCGGCAAACCGAGAGCTTTGGGTCAAGTTAATCCATGCGAGTTGGATATACTCGCATGTCGATGCCCTGCTATATCTATCCCAAGAATCTCTGTAGTAAACATGGCTGATAACCTTGGGTTTGGTCTAATTCTTTCTCTCTATTCTTCAACACATTGCTGCCACCCCACACCTGCGGCATCTCCACTTGTTGAATGGGACTTCTTCAATCCCGGACCTTACTCATGGGCCGATGGGCGCCTAGAACAACAAATAGGCTATTCGAAGTAACCGCCCGAGGCAATCGTACTTTTGGAGAGTTGGCCAAAGACCGAAGTTAAGTTAGCATGCAATTCAACACCTGTAACGTTTCGAGACGTCCATTTCTCTAGAACGCCGGATAACCACCGAGACTTCTCCATGTTAAGTCAAGTGCCCATCGCGGCTATCGCACATATTCCGACTCGGTCATTCCGGGGGATAATTTATCAAAACCCCACGTACGATGGATGGGCTCAGATAGGAAAGCAAGAACCGAAGAAAAGGGCGCGCCGGGGAGGACTTGAAAAAATCAAAACATGACATGCCCCCCAAACGTCCAACTAAGCAACGCATGTGATTTCTAATCAACCCCTCGGTTCCTCTACCCCTCCATCATCCATCGTCGGCGCAACGACGCAAAAAAGTCTCACAACGCTAGAGAACGAAAAAAAAAAAAAAAAAAACTGACAAACCACCCCACCAAAGCCGCAAAACAACTGGACATTGCTCGCGCCCTTCCGCAGCGCTTTTACCATACCTTATTTTCCCGAAGGCCAAAATTCCAGACCATAACCCTTTTCTTCACTTTCCCACCCTCCACCACCCAATCCCATTCTCCTCTTTTCCAATTTTGTTGACGTGATTTGAAGAGACCTGTCTATGATTGGGTGCTTAACCGCAGTTACGGATACTCTTTTGGGCAACTCAGACCAACCCCGCCGCCTATCGGGCTGAGCCGCAATCTACCTACCTTAACTTGCCTGCGCCTACGACCCAAGTTGACCACCAACCACCTTACCAATTGGACTATCCGTACAGAAAGACCAGGGCTTCCCATTCGGCTGCCGAGACCATTGCGCAATCGCAAGAGAGAAAACAACCATTGAAGAAAATACGTTCCCACCCTTTACGAAGCGCCGCCATCCCACTTCGAACGAATCCGCCTTGTTTTCCGCCCTGGACCCTTGCATCGTGAGCCTGCCAGGAAAAAAAAACGACAATCAGCCTGGTCTGACGTCTTATCAGAAAACCAACCCCTCCATACCGGGCAACGTCTCTGTCTCAACACCTGTAGAGCCGTAGAGAGTGGTTTTACAGTAAATGCTCTCCGGCTGATATTACACCAACTACTCTAATATCGCACTTTTTTTCTTTTTTAATATCGCACTTTGCCATCCGCGGGCGCGCGGAATTTCCTACTTTTTCTCGGGCCGTTTTATTTCATAACTCCGTCATCGTCCAAAACGCCGATCACCGGCCAAACCCGGCCGTAGCCGCACCTCCTCCCAAAACAACAACTACGAGCAAAGCCGCAGACATATCGACGAAACCATGGGTCTCCTGCAAGTTCCTACCTCCCACACACTCCCAATTCTCAGTCCATGTAGTCCACAGCGCAAAGTTGCTAACACTTCCAATGTAGAGCACTAGGAACCCCTCTCGACTGGCCAGAGGCCAAGAAGAGTGCTGACCAGGTCCGTGAGTGGGGTATCAAGGTTCGAGCGCCTCTTTCTCTCGCTATGAAACGACCTCACTCGAGGCTGTCGTTGGTCCTCCGGGGTCATGAAAGTGTTGCTGATCTGAGTCTTTTCGGGTGAAATTAGCAACTCCTAGAGATATGGAATAAGGCCAAGAGCAAAGAGCGCGATGCTATGCTCTGGGGAGATGAGGTATGTGGAAACTGTTGTGAGATACAATGCTCTGTCCTCACCCCGGGAGGACTGACGTATCGTCCTCTCATGGCATCGTTCATTCTTTCATGGCAAGAGACGAGAGCCCGAAGGCTGACGATGTTCACTAAAGGTCGAGTACTTGGTTGTGACCTACTCAAAGGATGAGCCCAAGGTCCGTCTGTCTCTCAGACAAGCCGAGATTCTCACGGCACTCGCCGAGAGCCCGGATCTCGCAAAGGAGGGAGGCTGCGTACCAGAGCTCCAGGAAGTCGCCAGGGAACAGTCGTACGTTCCCTGTCTATTCCCCCCTATTCTCATCCACCAACGTGCCGCGATCCATCACGCAGATCAAAGAGGACAGATTAATCAAATGCCTTGCCATGGTGAAGCTAACCCCAAACACACAGATCGGTAACCCTCCCCGTCTTCCACCCGGAATTCGGCCGCTTCATGCTCGAAGCCACCCCCGGCAAACCCTGGGGCATCGGCTTCAAGGAACTCCTCGACGTCGAACCCGACATGAAGCTCCGCCGCAAGATTGCAAAGGACCACATGCACAGCAACGAGTACCCCATCACTCTCACAACCTTTCCCCGCATCGGCTGCCCGGGCGACTTCACGGAACCCTACTACCCGCCCTCAGGCCCCAAACTCCGCTCCCAGTTCGTCCCCGACGAGATCGCCAACCCGCATATCCGCTTCCCCACCCTCGCCGCCAACATCCGCTGGCGCCGCGGCCGCAAAGTCCAGGTCAACGTCCCTGTCTTCCACGACACCAACACGCCCAACCCCTGGAAGGATCCCACCGTCGACCACGACCTCCACAACTGGCCCGAGGACGACGACGTCCGCAACGGCGCCGCGCCGGATAACTACATCCATATGGACGCCATGGCGTTCGGCATGGGCAGCTGCTGTCTGCAAATCACCTTCCAGGCCAAGAACATCACCGAGGGCCGCAAGATGTACGACCAGCTCAGCCCGCTGGGGCCCATCATGCTCGCCCTGACGGCTGCCACGCCCGTGTATAAGGGGTTCCTGGCCAACACCGATGTGAGGTGGAACCAAATCAGCCGGGCCGTGGACTGCAGAACCCCTGAGGAACTGGGAGAAAAGGTAAGATATCACAGACAGGCACAAGCTGGACAACTCAACTCGCACACACTTTCCTCACTTTCACTCCCTCTTCTCATCTCACACCACGACTACCTGTACATATATAAGCACATATCAAGACATCCTCATGTAAAGAAAAGCTAACACCACCACATCAGCCCCTTCAAAACGACCGCTGGCGTATCCCCAAATCCCGCTACGCCTCAAACTCAACCTACATCTCCACAGACCCGCGCCTCCGCCGGGAATACCTCGACCCGAACCTCGTCATCGACACCGCCATCAAATCCAAACTCATGGACGGTGGCATGGACGACCGCCTCGCCACCCACTTTGCTCACCTCTTCATCCGCGACCCCATCGTCGTCTTCCAAGAAGACCTCCAGGAGCTCGACCTCTCCAAGACGGACCACTTTGAGAACCTCCAGTCCACAAACTGGCAGCACATGCGCTTCAAACCCCCTCCCGCCGACAATTCCATCGGCTGGCGCGTCGAGTTCCGCCCCATGGAGATCCAGCTCACCGATTTCGAGAACGCGGCGTTCAGCGTCTTCATGGTCCTCGTCACTCGCGCCATCCTCTCATTCGACCTCAACTTCTACATCCCCATCACCAAAGTCGACGAAAACATGGAGCGTGCACACGCCGTCGACGCAGTCCTCAAGGAGAAGTTCTTCTTCCGCAGGAACCCTTTCCCCAGCCGCCAAGTCCGCGTCAACAACTTCACCCAGGGTCAGAACGGCGAAGACAGCAGCACCTCGAGACCAGGCTCCCGCCCAGGCTCAGCAGTCCCCAGCCGGCCCCCAACCCCCGTCGGCCCCGTCGAAGACGAATACGCCGAAATGACAGTCAACGACATCATCAACGGCAGCCACCCGGACACCATGTCCTCCTCCGACCCGGACGGCGTCGCATTCCCAGGCCTGATCCCCCTAGTAGAATCCTACCTCGACAGCGTAAACGTCGATGTCCAAACCCGCTGCGAACTCGACACCTACCTCCGCCTCATCAGCCAGCGCGCCTCGGGCCAGCTCGACACCGCCGCCCGCTGGCTCCGCAACCTCGTCGACGTCCACCCGGACTACGCGCACGACAGCGTCGTGTCCGAGGAGGTGCAAAAGGATATCATTGCCGCCGTCGTCGCCATTGGCGAGCGCGAGACGGCCGGGGCTGGGTTTGCGGGGTTGGATATTCACGGCCTGCCGAAGTTGCTCGGGAATTTCCGCCGGGGCTGCGGCGGCGAACAGCAGCAACCGGAGGTCTCCGCGAGGAAGAGGAAGCATTCTGAACAGGCATAGACGCCGTAACCGTACGTCAGGTACGTAGGGCGATTTAACTACTAGTGCTACGGAGACATAGAGACATCATCACGACCGAGGCACTGGGTCACTAAAAAGCAAAGAGTAGGAAGGCGAGAACCCGTAGGTCAAGGGGTGAAGGAAGAGAATAGGGCGACAGGGTCTCAAACGCCATTAGCCACATGAAAGCTCGCATTCGGCAACGCTTAGGAAAGGATTCTCCTACACGTAATGAACTCATAGACCCAAAAGCATGCATCAAGACATCAATGACAAGTTCACTCATGATGTATTCGGTATGTCAGTAGGAAAAGGGGAGAGAGAGCGCCACGCCGACGTCAGCCGCAGGCGTGGACTCAAAAACCAACGTCAATGTCAATGTGGATTAAACCGAATCCGTAGCTGGTCGCGAACATGTCTCAATGTGATCCTACGTCGTCGATCCAAGATCCAAGCCCCAGGTGAATCTGAGGTGGTCCACGATCTTGGATCGAGTGACAGGCCACAAGTCCCCAGCCCAACGCAGGCACATCATCAGGCTGACTTACCTAGACTGAAGGCGTCAAAATTACAGCTCCCGTGAGAGCGGAAACCTGGCGCACTTCCCGTCTTTCTCCAACGGAGCAATGGTTGTCTCCTTTTTGCAAAGAGCTAGACTAGTAGGAAGCCAGGGATTCTGAAAGTAACTCAGAGCCCGTGGCGGTATTCTTCACGATCCATTGGAAAATGAAGTATCTGCGCAAACGTGTCATTACAATCCCGAGGCGTCTCGAAACTGAGACAGTCATCGGGCTTCCACATGACGAATGCACTTTTCTGTAGCCTCTTGACTCGAGGCTGTGCGGCAATTCCACTGCCCTTGGCTTCCACGCCGCATGGCAATGTTCCGGAAAGCTGGGACCGGCCGTAAGGTCATGATGGAGAAATTGGAATGGCGCATGCTGATGGAATCTCCCATTTCCAGTTTCCAGGGAAGGGATGACCCGGGAAGCCGGTAATCTGGGAAACTAGAAGGGGGGGTGGGTGTGTGGAGAGGCGTGTCGTAGACTGACTTGCTTGCTTGCCCTGTTAGCAAGCCAAACGCCAAACCCGAAAGTGAAATCGACACGGGGTGGTTCGTGTGATGTTTCTCGAGAAGGCGCGAGCCACAGCGCGCTCTAGACCAGTTGAACTGGATGAGCTTGCTGAACCGCCAGGCCGTGTCTTGGATCTCGACCATGGCGCACGCCAAACAAGTGCGATTCTGTGGCGGGAATATTTGCACCGGCAATTCGGTTTGGGGAGGATTGGCCATGGCATGCAACGAGGTCAGTTCAATGACAGGGCGCTATGGCGTTGATGATTTGGAGCCGGCTGGTTCGAAAGCGGGCGATCCCCTTTGGTTGCCCGCCCATTTCGCCGGCAAATTTGAGGTGATCTCGAGACGACATTCCTCCGTAGATGGCCAGCCACGTTGCCACTTGGGGCAGGCAGCTAGCTGTCTGTGTTTGGTTTGATATACTCTCGGCTGCCCGTTTCTCTAGATCGAACCATCCCTACCCCGTGTTGTGAGACAAAAGACATAGCACACCGGCAGCGACGTGTGCTGGCACGGTGCATCTTTCCCCAGCACAGCGTCAAGAAGCCGAAGAGAATCCAAGGGGGAGTTCGGGCATCATCTTCAAACCAGAGCCAAGCCACGACCTGTCACTTGGAGCCCTCGCGGAGAGGTCGTGTGCAACTGTGCAGTTCAGCTAGGCGATTTGAGCTCTGCCGAGTGATGTGGCAGAACTAGCGGACCGCATCGTCTAGGCTTAGAACCGCAGATCGAAGCCAGCACTACAGATAATCTGGAAGGATTCCACTGCTGTCCTTGACCCCTTACTAGATTGGAAGAGTCTCTGAGCGAATGAGACGGAGGCTGAACGGTCATGCATGGAAGTACAGTCCAGGACTTGAGAACCCAACTGTGCCTCATTTCCTTACGTTCCTATACCGATAGCGTCGCCGCCACGACATTTGATGAGGTAGGGAGAGAAGGCGGCGCTTTCACGACAGCCTTGCTTTTGGTATGGCCATGTCGCTGCGTTCGGAAAGGCCACCACTCTGACATGTCGCGTGGGAGTCGTGTGGGCAGGCTGAGGAGGGCTGGAGGTGGCAACCGCATGCGGACTTGATCGATGTGAGGCGCCATGGTTCGATTGCCGGACCATCATGACGTAGCAGGCTGGGCTGGACGTGCGATGCGAGGTCTTTACGGACCACGCTATTGACGAGACAGGAGCTAGTTTCCCGCGCACGGGATTATGAGCAATTTGGGACTGGTTCAGCAACGCGAGGCGGTGTTGCTACCACTAGCTGACTTTGAATATTCGTATTGGCTGTTGGATCGCCATGTGCTGTGGATGTTTGGCAGCGGCAGCGGGCAGGCATGGCGAACGGCCGTAGGAATGGTATTGTGGACTTGTTACGGGTCACCAAAGGTCGGCTGCGATGATGCCCACCAAGACCATTGGCGTACGGTACGAGGTCGATACACACCCAGGCCGTCAGATGTGACAAGTTGATGCTTGGAGATTGGCGAGCCGGTTGAGCGGTAGCGCGACCAGAGACGGATGGAAACGCACCCTTGCGCAGACACACGGGTGTCAGATCGTTTGATGAGATCCAACCAGATCTGGACCCGGTGACTATGCGGAATGGAGCGTGGGAAACCGGAGCAAATCGGTGGAGTAGGTGAGGGATCTCAAAGCACGGCGAAGCGAAGGGAACAGGCTCAAATCCATATAGAATCGTACGATGTCGTCCATGGAAAAGCACGAAGGTTTGAACGCCAAGTCGAATATGAGCAATGGTGGTGCCGTTTAGACAGACCAGGCAAGGTCCAAAGGCTAGAGCAGGTGGCGGCCAGGGACCTGGGCTGCAGCATGGCATTTTCTCTATCTCTATCCGGTCCCATGTGGTCCGAGTCAGCGTGTTTGAAGGGGGAGGAGGGGAGCGTTGTTCTCCTATTGTCTGCCCGTTGTCGTCGTTGTGTCCCTGTCCTACACCCAGCAGAGAGGAACGCCATCCACGGCCAGTAGCAAGGAATCCGTGGCCAGCTGGGGCCTGGCAGCTGGAAACGATAGGGGAGGGGAGTCCTGAGGTCTCATACTGTGTACATTGTGCCGCACAGCATCACCGCAGGGCGTTGAGGTACTGCGGCTGGGTATCGGTATGGATCAGGGAGAGAAAATGGCCCCGGCCCAGATCCAAGGATCTCAGTAGCATAGCTTATCTGCGTTCGGGGCTTGGGGAACCCACGTGGCGGGGAAAAGGCACGGAGCTTTGCGCCATAGCAGAGATCAACGGGCAACGGACGTTGTCTTGGTGTATGGCTTGGGCTAGACCAGGCCGGGTGACGAAGTGATTTCCCAAAATGCCTTGGTGTCAGATGGGAAAGTGCAGTGTGTAAATTAGGCGTAGATATCGCTCTGGTTGTTGGCGTTGCTTTCCATTTCCATCCTGCTCTGCAACGACTGCCGTCATTGAGATCGACCTCAGTAACTCGTCCGAGCATTTCTCAATGTCTTTGTGTTTGCCCCGAACAAGACTCCCGAGGGGTGTAAAAGAAAACGCCCTGACGTGTCCGAAGATCTCGGGCGGACGCAGACTATAAGCGGAGTGTATGGGGCCAGCGGAAGAAGCTAGAGAGATTGGATAATGACCCTGGCATTTTCGACGGATTGTAACTTGTCGTTGGGAGGAGGTGGAGGGAGGGGAGTCGGGCATGACGTTGGACACGAGAGCGAGTGAGAATGAAGCGATGGCAATGATCCTGGAATCCTAAACAGTCGGTCAGATGGTTGACAGGCACTATGCACGATACGAACCCAAAGATCGGGTCGCGCTCGCTTTGGAAAGCTCCACTGTCACCGCAGGTGAGGGGCCGATCTTGCAGTTGCGGTCGGCACAGAAAGAAAAGAGGGACCTGAGGTGGTTCTGAACTCCCAGTCTTCCAGATTGTCTGGGAACATCCAATATCACTCGTTGCTCGTTCCATGTTGGTCAGCAGGCGGGAAGAGGGTTGGCCCGGTTGGGTTGTGAGTGGAGGCGACGGACGCGGAGACAGAATGAACATGAGACTGTGACCTGACCAGGTACGGGCAATGTACCTTAACCTCTGCCTTGGGCCCAGAGTGGAGCTCAGGTTTCTCCTTCCTCGTGTTCATCGGCAGGGAAAGGGCCGCGTTATTGGACGTCATTGGTTAGGGGCAGCTCTGACCGAGGTGGAGCATAGTGCCTGATCTCGCATGGCATGGAGACTTAGTCGACAGGTACATTGCGAATACAAGCCTGCCTAAGTAGGTAGGGAAGGTCTGCAGACTTTATCGATCATCCATCAAGTGCCCGAGTGAGGAGTGAAGGAGTGGGCGACAACGTTCAATAATTCAATGGCTCACTAGTATCCGCACAGGTTGGCTGGAGACCAGGAGATCATGATGGGGCCAGCCAATCCGCAATGGGTAGATTGCTCGTCAAGACTTGGTTCCAGAACAATATTAGTTTCAGACCCTGCAATATGTAGCGGCAACATCGGCGAAGGCACACGTGTGACTCTTCCAGTAGCGAGAGAGAGAGAAAAAGTTCACAGTGTACGTAGTAGGTGCTCAAGAATGGTGCGACTTGAGGATCTGAGTCGACAAAACTTACCCCACGATCCAGCAAGCACGGGATGACCGAGCACGATTGACTAGGTGTGATGGGTCAACTATCTTACCTTGGTTTGAGCAAGCGGCAGAAGGGCAGATAATAAGGTAGGTATGTTGGGTTTGCAACAGACGTGGCGGGTAACTTGTAGGGTGGGCCCTATGAGTGAAAAGCGATGCATCGCTCGGAACCTGGAAGCCATGGCTGGAAAGGCTGGGCTGTTGCTAAAGCATGGAAGAGATGAAGCCCGCTAAGACGTTGGCGATGACGGGAGTTGGCAAAATCACGCCACACGCGAGTCGTGAGGTGCGAAAATGGGACGAACATTTCGCGGATGTACCTTAGTCTGGCAGCTGGAGAGACAGCCAGGTCAAAGACCAGGGCTGCTGTTGAAGGATGAAGTGGCATCCCAACCTTGAACCTTGGGATTTGGATCGAAGTATCCGTACGGAATTAAGGTACGAGGTAAGCACGGTAAGTTGGGTAAAGGTGAGGAAGGGACGTTCTGAGGCATTTCGCCGTGGTCCTTCCTTCGCTCCATCCTGTTGTGTTTCTCTCTTGCCGGGTGTGGTGACTTTGTGGTGTGTGTGGAAGGTGCGGAATACGTGGTAGGTGCGTGGTAGACAAAGGGCTGTGAGTGGAGGGATACCTGCCATGGGAGGATCCACCCCCGTTTTTCCCGCCCAAAGTGAATCGCAATCAAATCGACGCAAATCTGCGATCGCATCCGGGGAGCCGCCGGGGTCCGATGTGGGCCGACTATCGCCTACTTAGGTAATCTCGTCCAGGGAAGTCCCAGCCCGACCTTCTTTCCACAATCATCTCACTGTGAATTTCCGTACCTTGTGGCAGTAAGTACCGCCGCGTACCGCTCCTGTGTCTCCCAGAAACTCCCACACCCCCTCGTCCGAGGTCACATCGACCCAATCAATTAGCCCACCCGCCCAAAATAGCGCCGGGAATTTTCCACGAGCTTCCGCGATCGAGCTGCTAACCCTGTTGATCTGATTTTTTGGGGTCCATGTTCCTCAATGTTCCTCAATGTTCCTCAAATTCCTCACACACCTCAATCCCGCCGTCGCCGTCCCTTAACCACAGTATACTCCGTACGCAGTTACCAGTATCCATACATACCAGATTTTGGCTTTGACACGTCCTCACTGCTTCAGCTTCTGACCACACTCCCCCTTCGACAGAGTTCCAAGGGCTTTCGGTACGGAGTATACCCTCCAAGAACAGCGCAATTCAAACCCACACAGCCATTCTTCAATTACAATCAACCCAGACCTATCATGGAGATTGGTACGGATACCTGTCGTCGGGGCTGGTGTCTGTTTATTCCCACTCACCCACTGTCACGCCCTTCAGCAGGGACAACCATGGTTTCGGGTCGGCGCCGGCGCCATACGACAAGGTCGCTGTTTTCAGGGATGCTACCCTGATTCTCGCCAGATGTACCATCAACCTTCGGCCGGCGCACAAGGTTGTTCGTAACGGCCCATCCTCTGCTATTGTACGGAGTACAATGTACAGTACTATCGTGCATGGGAGTCCAACTCTTTCACCTGGGCATCTCAGATCACCTCCAGACGACGGATAACAGTCTATTCGCCGGCTTTGGTGGGA